TGTTGGTCACTCATGGGAGTATAAGAGTTATTTAATTTTGAATGTTTGCCAATTTTTTGGCAGGTCTTGAGTTTTCCTGTGCACTCCATGGGCTGGATTGAGCTTGAAGAGAGCCAAGTTGCACCGCATAACATGAGTGATACTATCTCAGACTGTATCTCTACCTTGGCACAGAAGAGAAAAGATCTCTGGCAAACTGGAGAAACTTGGGGAGAGGTAAATGCTGTATTCATTATTTGTTTATTTATTTATTTATTTATTTGATAAGCATTCAGTTGCATCTAAGCTTGGACTTGTCCTACCTATCTTGCTTTATTTATGGTAAAAAGAGTTTCTTTTAAGATCATGACTCATGTGCAATTACAGCAATTGCAGCCTTTAAACTTTTTTCAAGAACACAAACAATATTTACTGTTTTGAGTTCATGTTTCATTACTAGTGTGGTGTCTTTTTGGTGGCAGACTGCTTTGTTAAAAGCCTATGTTTGAGTATTATTATTATATTAATTATAAGTCAATGATGAACACAATGGTGATACATTTTATCATTTGTGTTCCTTGTTATGAATTGTTTTTTAAATCATCCCACACTTCCAGGGTAAGGACATAAGATTGTTGCTGGAGGGTGACACTCTTAAGCTTGCAGAACCAAGAACCAAGAACACCTTGCTTATCCAACCTGTCTCTAAAATGAGGGTTTGGGGTGTCGGCAAAGAGGATCAGAGGTATTGACTTGTAAGCTGTTTTGTTATCTGAAGATTTTAGTTGATTCATATAAATTTGTGAACAGTTGGTCAACATGGAATTACTGTTGCTTACAGTTAAAAATAGCTTAAAATACAGGGATGGCTAAGAAAAAGCTACATGATATATAGTTTAACAAATATCATATTGTTGGAGTGATATTCATTGCCCCTTTAAAAAATTCAGCTCTCAATAGGAACAGAGCTTGTTAATTTGTCAATGTTTGTTCTACATTTTTGGGTTATTACCATTGTAATCAAGGCATCTCACCACAGAAAGGTGAGTCTGTATACACTTTTATATTAGTAGCTCTTATGCAGTCTATAATGCTTTGTATTTTAGGGACTTTGCTTATGTTGCACGAGATCCTTCAACTGGCAAGCACAAGTGTCACATGTTCCGTTGTCATGGGAACATATCTGGTCGTGCAATCACCAATGCCCTACATGACATGTGTAGCAAGATCATAGAGGAAAAGAAAAAGGCTCAGGAAAGCACTCGTAAGATATCTGCTCAGAAGCCTTGGTCAGATATCATTAATACACCACCTCCTTCTTCAGCAAGAGGTACATCACTCTTAACTCCTTAGTCTCTAACATCAGTTTGTATGTTCTCAGTACTGTTCTTTACATACATCTGTGGTGTTTTAATGCATTTTTTTAGTTTTTTTGGGATGATTGTGGATTATGAGCAGCAACCTCTTTAGGGAGCTTAATGTCTTGTCATGTAAAAGGCCATCAAAAAGGAACCATGTAGTGAAAAGTGTAAATTTTAGGGATAAATTAGTTACTGTAAGTACCTGCAAAGATATGCTGCAACACCCACTGAATCAAACCACAAAAATCTGTCTACTCTCTTGTTGTCTAATAAAACCTAAATGTCCAGAAGGTATTTTAGATAATACAAGAAGTAAATTTAAGCATAGAGCAAGAGTATAAGCATAAAGTATGAGAAATCATGTAGTGCAAAACAGCAGCCCTCATGTTCAAATGTAAACTGCAAACTTCAAACTGCATGCCAAAAACTACATTTTGTGATATCTTGACATTTGCTATTCAAAGTAATCACAAATAAAACAAACAAACTTTAAGTAACTATTGTTTCTAATAAATGTTGTTTTGCAGATAATGCCAGTTTTAATGAAAAACCCCATGTAGAACCAAAGAAGAGCTTTTCTGCTAGATATGTTGGGAGCATAGATGTTCCAAGACCAACAGGTTAGATAATGATGTTAGGTAACTTGACTGAGTTTTATCTGGGACTGTTTATAATCTGGAGAGATCATTTATGATTAGTTTTATCTGTGAGGCTAATTAACCCTTTAACTCCCAGGATCTGCTTGATAATTCTCCCCTCTAGCTTCTGCAAATTTCTTTCAATAATTTGTGTTAGATCAAGATAATAATGTCTACCTGATGAGCTTGAGTATTATCATTACCTGTTTGCTGAATAATGGGAGAAGTTATGTGTTAATCATTTCTGAGAGGTTTAGGGTTAAGTTTGCCAAGGTTTGGATTTGTTTTAAGTGGAGGAATTTGGAAATGAACATATCTTGTATAACTGTTTTTTTTTCCATGGTGTTTTTCACTTTTGTTCCTTTTTTTAGGTGTGGAGATCTTGAACAAAGCAATAAGTAAACTAACAAGTAAAGGTGGCGGTGTCAGTGGATGGAGAACCATTCTCATTGAAATCAGTGTATCAAACATCAGGATAACAGACTGCACTGTAAGCTGTTCTCTCTCTATTTTCAGCCCCAAAATAATGTAACAAAAATTTAGATGGACTGATATGAGAATGACACTATTATGAGGGCTCAAACAGGTAGCTATTGTTAGTAGGAAGCCAGTAATAATACTGATGCTCTATGGGTGGCTGTCAAAATGTACTTTACCTAGCAAATGTTCACCCCAACAACAATTAAGGGTATTACTTTCAATTGATGTGGTACCAAATTCTTGTAGATAAATATACAACTGAAAATAATGTATAGTTTAGTAGGTAGGAGGGAGAATTACTGATGAGATATTGGGAATTAAAAGGTTGTATTGCAAATTTTAAGGTACTAAGGACATTATATTTATAGTCAGTCTCTCTTACTGGTATTAAAGGTAAACACAAGGCTTTAATGCCAATAAACAAAAATCTCAAACTGCGTAATTATTAATCACACATTAATCACATGAATCGTGCATTAAATTGCACATCTCACCACTGTCATACTTAGTGACTGTTCTTAAATTTTTTTATTTGTCAGACCCAAGAACTAATTTCTGAAGACCGAGTTAGATTTATGTCTTTCTTTGGAGTTGGAAAAGATGAAAGGTAAATTACTAGTCATAAGATATACTTGGAGTCAACAATTTGACTAAATTCCAACCATTATCGCACAAGTGAAAATATGATATGTTTCACAATTGTACTGTTTGTGATCAAATTCCCTTCATTGGCAACAGGAACAAAGGAAATACTTGACTTTCTTTACTTACAACCTGTGGCTTTTAAGCTCACGTGACAGTAGTGCCCAACCACCTTCTGTGAGGTGCTGTCTCAATCTTGATTGAATTTTTTCAAACTTCTTATGGGTATTTTACCATGATTGAAATTGCAGTTCACTAAACCATGACATCCTACATTATAAACAAATCATGCACAGAGCAGCTAGCCCATGGCGATCTGTACTAACTGTTAATTTTTTTTCAAAATAGACTTTGTGGTTACATTGTTACCACGGCTCCGGATGTATTTGTGTGCCATGTGTTTCAGTGCTCTCCTAATGCTGCTCCACTTACAAAGGCATTAGCTGAAGCATGCGAGGTAAGATTAGTACTTCTGTGATCTCAATTCTTTTAAAAAGAAAGTCCTAAATAATGTTCACGGCAGCTGCTCTATGATTTTCTCATGACCTTTGGTGTAAGAATTTTTATGACACAAATTTTGTTTATAGCAGCTTATTTTACAACCTGCATAGTCACTTCCTTGCTTAGTTTTCTTTTTCATTCATTCACTCCTTTCCCTCTGGTTTTACTTTCCAGTTTTTTTCCTCTGTGGTCTTTTTCCTTCCTTTGTCTGTCTGTTTTTCTGTACAACTTGTCATTCATTCATTCATTCTGTCATTCAGTCAGTCTCTCTGACTGTTAATCAAACAGTCTGTCAGTCATTGAGTCAGTCTTTCAGTCACAAAGTCAGTCTGTCAGTTGATCTGTCTGTTTGTCTGTCTGTCTCTTTTTCAGTCCGTCTGTTTTTCTGAATTTTTTTCATGATAATTGCAGCTCCGTTTCCAAAAATGTGTGGATGCTCATCCAGATATTATACAGAAAGTGACAGCTGCTGAGCAGGAGAAAATAAGAGAAAAGTCTGACAAAGACAAAGATAAAGATAAGGTACAAGAAGATGATATGTCAGTCACAAATATGTAGCATAGTTTTTTCTTTTGTTTGCAAAAATGTTGACATGCAAGTGCAAAGAATCATTTCAAATCAATATGATTTTCTTATCTATTTCCTGTAAAATTTTGGAACTCAAAGAAAAGTAGGATTAGAAGTACATGTAATCTTAACCCTTTAACTCCCATGAGTGACCAAGACAGAATTTCTCCTTACAATTAAGATCAATACAATATCAAGCAGACAAGTGATGCATGAGAATGAAGAAAAATATTGATGATGGGATAATTAGGAGATCTAATACTAAATTCTCTGAACTAACATCGCAAGAATTGTATGAAAGATAGTAAGGAGAATTACTAATGTAATCTTGGGAGTGAAAGGGTTAACTAGATGGTTTTTATTGTTTATTCACATGTTTTATTGTGTGTGTGTTTTCCCATGCACTCCGTGGGTAGTCACTGCATACATATTTTCCTCCAGTTTGCCTCCTTTGCTATATAAACGTTTTAATTAATTTTTATAACAGGCTGGTTTCATTACAAGTGTTCAGGGTTTGCTTGGAAAACTTGGGACAAAGAAAGGGGGAGGGAAAAAGGTCAGTACAGCAAAGAAAATGCATTGACAACTTGCTTTACACCCTAACATCAGTGTACATTTTCTCCATACTGTTCTCCATACATTTCCTATGGTACTGACAAAGAGAATTTGTTTAACAATCAAGAGTGTTGATGGTGATCATTTCCTTTATTCTCATGACCTCAATGTTTGTTTTGGAGGTGATACTGATAGGGAAAAATTGTCTGTAATCACCGTTTATAAGGGGTTAAATGGTTAAACACCCTCCCAAGCTCCCTGGAAGTTTGTGATAAGCTGTTCTCCTTCCAAATAAAAAAACAAGTTTGAAAAAAACTTTTGTTAAGCACTCATTTAAGCCAGGAAGCATTTCAGTTCAAATTATACAGGAGACCATGTGCTAATTTCTTTTCTAAATATCAGAGGTCTCAAACAAATACTTTATTCATACTTTATTCCTTTCATCATTTATAAAATATTCATCATTCATTTGGGAGATGATTCAGAAGAAAAATTAAACAACTGAATTCAGTTTACTAGGAAGGCGAAACCTGTCCTTTTTTGCAAAACTCTGAGATTTTGCAACTTAAAAACAATCTAAGATGAATCCTGGAAATTGAAGTTTGAATCACTGGCAAACTATGCCAGCCAGTTTTGTCTGCTAGTGCAGAAAAACCCTTGGTTGGATTTAAATACATAATTATATACTCCCCACACTCTGTTTGAAAGCTATGGCTAGTCCCTAGTCACCTTGCAGGCCCTATTAGAACATACAGTATGTGGTATTGCCATCTCTGTTTTCTATCAAACTTGTCTAATATGTTGCATCATAGTCATATTTGTGACTTGGTGTGACTAGGAAAAGTGGGGTGATGTGCTGTTTAATGTATGCAACACCCGATAAGAAAACCACAACTCATTTTCACTATGTACGCAACATTTTTCGTTTTGTTACTTGTCTGTGTTAATTAATTAAAATTTTTATTTCAAACCTTTAACTAAGTAAATGTGGACAAAATTTTCTGTCACTGACTTGAGGAAAATTCTCTTCTTTTTGGAGCAGGAGGAAAGTAGCACAACAGATAACAAACAATCTTCGATTCCCGTGATAACATGCAAACCAACTCACACTTTTATGGTGAAGTACTACGGTGCACTGCCTGTGGCTGTCGGAACAGGGATAGAAACTGTGGAGGAAGCAGCAAAGGTGATTACTGTAATAGCAGCTGACATCAATTTTTATTTATAAATAACTTAATTTCAGGAACCTTGCTAAGTGACACCCTGTTGCTACACCCTTATTGTGATTGTAACCCTTTGTTTGTGCCTTAGATTTAAGAAATAGACTGCACTTTCCATCTTTTTACCCATGTAATTACCCATGTGGGATGTTGGGAGAACACTAGGAAAGTTAGTAAATCATGTGCTGGAGGCGGGTGATATGCTAACTTTTGGAATTTTTATAAAAATAAACTTCAAATTAGCTATTTATTTATTATTATTAATATTATAATTATTATTATTTTAAATTTCATGTTACAGGTATGTGATACACATACTTGAAATCAATAAAGTGCAATATTGCAATACTATACTTTACTGACAATCCCATTGAAACATTTTTAGTTTATATATTAAATTTAAAATGTTTCAATGGGTGTACTGGTGCAATAACCAAGTCAATTATTTTATAAGAGATTATAGACCATTAATTTCCTGGTCATGCCATTTTAAGGACACATTGAAATAATTGGCTTCAGACACATTAAGTAAAGGATGAAACCCTCATTCATGTTGAAGCTAAGTCATATACCAGAAAAAAACTCCTTTTTATATTTTTTCTCTATAGGCTGACAATTTTGACTTCCTAACCCATTACACTGTAACATCACTGTCCATATTCTCCTTCCTGTTCTGTTTACATTTCTTAAGGTTCTGATAAGGAGAATTTGCTCAACAATCAAAAGCTTCTTTAGTTCATGATCATTTCCTTTATTCTTGACCTTACTTGCATGACTTAGGGGTCAGATTGTAGAGAGAAATTATATGCTCGTCACTCTTGGGGGTCAGAGGGTTAAGAGGAGACCTATTTTACTTGGCTTCTGCTTTTGGAGGTTAATTTGATCACTGTGTGGATCTTTTCTGGCCCCCGCACCCTCCTTTTAATGATAATTGACTAAAATTCTGGAAGAATTTTAGGCTTCAAAGCAATGAGCTGGAAAAGTTTCATTCCATATGATTTCCTTTTAGAAACATTCTGCAAGTATCTTTTTTTACAATTAAATTCTTATTTTGCAGCATTTGGCCGGAGGAACGCTACTGATTTGTCAACTTGATGTTGCACTCAATGGAGTAACACTTTATGACAGTCAGAGAAGTTCGCTTTCAAAGAGGAATTTAGATGCTGATACAATATCATACTGTGGTCTCACAAGGTAATACAAACCAACTCTTTTTTTGAACTGAACACGGCCTGCTTTTAAGTTTTACTGACCTTACCCAAATCACAGATACATGCTTGTAAAGAGCAAATTTCACTTACAGGTATTTTTAAGAACAGCTCACTGAAAAAACCTGTAAGCTGAGATAACCAACTGGCCACTGACTGGCTACTGACAGGTTATTAGTACGAGTTTACTTCGGAGCTTCAGAGGATACACATCTTCTTTCCATTGTAGTATCTAAGTCTGCCTAAGTTTGGATGATAGATATTAATAGATGGTAGTATTGATACAGACAAGTTACTGACAGATTGCAGACTGAACATCGACTGTCTGTCAGGTGCCTGTTGGCCAACAGGTGTGTATTAAACTGTCGGGTAACAATCAACTGACTGTCAGTGTCCAGTTGCTGACAGTCAGCAGACAAGTTTTTTTAAGGGAATTGTTCTTCACATTCTCTCAAACTTCAATTAAATGTTGAAGGGTGACTTGAACTGAATTAGGTGTGGTTGTTTTACATATTAACTGGCTTGCAGCCTCTGATAAATCAGGTACAAAATCAAATTCAATGGCCACTTACAGCCTCTTATGTTTCACTGTGCTTAGCCCATTCATTCCCAAGATCACCTTGTTAATTCTCTAAACTGTCTGCCTTACATGTCTTCATTGACCATTGCAATTAACTAGGTAGTGATATAGGTCACTCTATATAGTAGCTCCTTTTTTTTTGTTTTTACAGTAACAGAAGCCATTTTGGACTCATCCAAAGCATGGGAGGAGGAAAATACATTTGCCATGTCTTTGCAGAGTACAAGGTGAAGAAATAAATTTAGTTTTTAATTTTGTTTATAACACTATTTTGGTAACTGGTCATGGTATTAAACGCAACTACCTGTAGCCATATTTGTGGTGAGCCATTGCTTTCATTTGGGTCAAATCATGCCATTCTCTTTTAAAACCCTTTGTTTGCACCTTAACATCAGTATGCACAATCTCCATACTATTCTTCATAAATCCCCTCCGTGTTGTTGAGGAGAATTTTTTTAACAATCCAGAGCTTCTTTAGTAGTTGATCATTTCCTTTGTTCTCTTGACCTTAATGTTTGGTTCAGGGGCAATATTGTAAGGAGAATTTAAATGCTGGTCACTCTCAGGGGTCAAGTCAAGTCTTTGTTCCTCCCAAATGTTGGTAGGAGATTGAGCTTAACTATAAATTTTCAGGGTTATTTTTTTAATTAATTTTTTTTGCTTTTAAGATTTTTTATTTTAGTTGTCAAATTCTTAAAAAGTATTAAAAAATTTAGCTCAATATTTGAGTAGATTGTTAAAAGTAATTTGATTGCATTTTATTTTTTTTAAATATTTCAGACTAAGGCAGGGCCAATTGTTGCAGCTATTCATGAAACATTGTGAATACCAGGGAAAATTCTACAGTACAATCACACAGAATCAACAGAGATGAATGATATGATAATTTTATCCCCTAGCATTGTAATTGTTATCGTAAAAATATGTATTTTATTTCCATGGATTACAGAGGACAGCAGATCAACCAAAATGTATGTAAATAGAATTCAGGGAGCTTTAACTGATTTATGATTATTAGCATTTGAATTGTAGAAAGCACGATCACTTTGACTTGCTAGAATGCAATATATTTTTTTTTTTTGCTCTTTAAGCAAAGGCCTTAGCAGTTTTCTGCATCATGTTTCAATTGATCTGAGTGTGAAATACATGTTAGAGGCAAATGAGATTTGCAATTGAAGGGGGGGGGGGAGTTTGCTACTTGGTCAGTGAGGGTTTTGAATTTTCAACCAAAGGTATGATCAATGTGGAAAAAGGAACAAAGAGGAATAGTATATCAAGATGTGAATGTGCTTCCTTCACTTTCAGTCATGTTTGTCTTGTTTATTACTTGTTAGCATTTTAAGGACTTGTTTTTATACAAATGTTTTAATTATTTTTGGAATAGAACGTTATTTTTGTATACTTTTGCTGCAATTACAGTTTGAATGACAGAGCGGATGGATTTAGTGAATGAATGAATGTATAATTAAACAATTGAATGACCATATGAATTGATGAATACAACAACAAATGATTGTTTGGGACTAGGTGACGTTGGGAGACAAATTATGAAGTTTGAATTAATTCTAATTATTTACTGGGTTAAATTATTGAGTAAAAATTGAAGAGAGGGAAGAAAAGGAAGGAAAACGTTTTGTGTGCTTAGGTGATTATCAAATGAGAGAGGATTTCTAACAATTTGGTTGACAGCTGAATTCATTAAAATATTATCACATCACAACTGAACGTTAAAAATTATAGAGGTTGGTTGTAAAAAAAAAAAAAAATGAAAAACTTCAAGATTGAAACGTATTAGTTTTGAACAACTGAAGTTAGATAGGTATGTAATTAGTAGTAATAGTTTGAAAGGCAAATGACCAGTGAAGAGAAAGAACTCTTGAGGCTTTTAATTCGAGGGTCAGGAAGTGTGGTTTGCTTTTGTAGGTTTTTGACAAAGTTTGTTAGGAATGTTTGCAATTTGAATGCAGTAAATGCCATGCATGAGGAATTTAGAGACAATGTAATATGAAGTTTTGCAGTTTGAAAGCAGCAAATGCAATGCATGAAAATTTGAAAATAAGAGTTGAAATTATGATGCAAAGTTTTAGGCTGGCCTTTAAACTTATTATGCTACTGTTGTAGTTGAGTAATTGCTCGGATCAGGTAGTGTTTGCTGAAAATTGTTATAAATGTTTTCCTTAGTACTACAGCTTTGGTAGCATTTTGATGAACATGAGTAGTTACTGTTTTTTTTATGAGTTAATGACGAGAGCTGGCCTCAGAAAAGTTTTTCCTTGTGTTTGTTTTTAAACTCACTTTTTGCAGTTGCCTTAAGGTGCTTTTGAGTAAATATCAGACCTGGCATTGTTCAAATTGACCCTTTGAACAGTTGGAAAAATTAAAAAAATTAGATTTTACAGTGCAATAATAATCAATGACTATTTCTTGGAAATTATAGTGTTGACTTTTTCCTTTATATTTCTTAATTTACTTCCTAAACTTGAGAGTGGTTATGATATATTACGAATATTTCAAGAATGAAAAAGCTAAGTACAACAATACCAGATTAACCAATTTTGGTTGAACCTTTCTTTAAAGGAAAATAATATATGTTAGGTAAATGTTATTAATTCATACTTATTTCAATTTTTTTTAAGATTTATGGGTAATAAATTACAGAGTAACATAATATATTATCACACAAAAGTAAAGTTAAATCATTACAATGTAATGAAACAGGAACAAATTACTTATTACTCTACCTGAATGAAATTAATACTGGATTTCATTTGAATATATAATTAGGAATGTGATTTATTTTTTGTATGAGTTTTGTTTTGTATCTTGGTTGTAAATTAATGTTGATTATAGCTGTAGATTTTTTTTGACTTAGGAAACGCTGGTTTAATGTTATTAATGTAAGTAATTAAGACTAAAAAGTTGAGTTTTAAAATTAACAAAACATGTAGATGTATGTTTTGTGTTATGCTGGTTGCATGCATATTGGATTACTAACTTAAAGTAAAATTTAGAGCAAATTATGGAAATAAAGTCTGTGAAGATGAGCATTTATATATTTTGTTGATGTCAGTGACAGCAGCAAAATGAGTATGTATGCACCTCTACTTGAAGCCATTTACGTTTTCCATGAGCTTTGATTCTTCTTCAAAATTAAGTTGTGGTGGTTTTTCTACCAGATAAAAAAACTTTTTCTCTGGGGGCTTTGACTACTGAGGAGGCAATGACAAGAAGTGATAAAGCAAAAGCGTGTGCTACAAACTTCATAGACATGTTATGGCTGCTCAACCTCAGTCACTAAATTCACACCTGTTGCAACAATACATTTCTGTTGAGAGAGATTTTTAACTAAGAAGGTTCATTTTGGTTTAGGCCTATCCTTGTAAAATGAAAACAAGCAATGGAAATGTTAAAAATGCCACCATTTTGCCTTGATAGTGTTACTATAGTGTTACATTGTCAACCCATTCCATTTCTCGCGTAAATTTCTCACTAGCTACAAGCATGGGCACTCATTTTGCCACTGTGTTGATGCTGGTCACTTCTACATCAAGGAGCTGAAACCTGATTTCATATTTGATTTCTTATTTGACTTAACAGACATGATGCAAATGACATTGTTAATCTGGGCAGTACATAAGAAAAGAGAAATAACAATACAATTTCAATTTATTAAAAACCTGGAAAAAGGACACTGAATGCTTTAGGGACCACCATCCAATTCTTTGAATAGGAAAAAAAATTTTGATCCTTTTTCCACATGTCAAATATGGCTTGGTATGTTACTCCCTTCTAGTCCATATTGATCCACTGTTGTCATTTTTTTTCTTGTCATTAAGCTGACAGAAATTACAACAATGAAGATAATTCATACTCTCATCTACCCTTCTTTCTTTGAGCAGGTTCATGTAGTCATTTAAAATTTAATAGATATATTCACTTAATTATTCCTTGTTCTTGTAACATTTCTGTGAGTCGTCCTGACTGGTATAATTCTGCAGTCTCTGACCCGCCACCAATACTTGTGCCCTTAATAAAAACATTTGGCACTGTGCTTCTTCCTGTTAAACTTTTCAAAGCTTCCTAAAAAAAGAACAGTTCCCCATAAATTAGGAAATCATCTGGAAGATCATTTCCAACATGGAGAGTACTTGTTTTTTCTGTAAAGGGGAGTTCATACTAGCATGCAGAGAAATACAGAATCTACATTTTAGATAATTGAGAAAAAAACCTATTTTAAAAGCTAACAGTCATGGCTTGAAAACAAAAACCAAGTTAAGCAAGATCTCAAATAATCAAGTGCTTTTGCTGATTTACTGTATAAATAATATTTTGAAGTTATAACTCAGGAGAAAAAAAAAAGGCTTCTGAGTTTCAAAAATTAGTTTGGTTACACGGAAAGGGGGGGGGGGAGGGGGGGTAAAGGATGGCAAGTAGTGGTTGTTCACATTCATAACACTCAGACTGAGCCATTGTCACCATAAGGTGGAGTGTACACTGCACTAATATTTATGGCAATAAAATCAAGGGAAATTAATATTGATGAAGAAGCATGTGATGTGTACATGGTTGGTGGGGAGGGGGGGGAGGGGAAGACCTGGTATCTGCAGTCTACAAAAATTGTAATGATAAAAAAATAATATCAATATGCAAAACAACTTCATCATTACTGGAAAAATGGCTCACGAATGTAGGCCTGGCATCATCAGAAAGACTTCTATTGAACCCAATACTTCACTAAGAACACAGTTCTTAATGAACCCTTTAACTCCCGTGAGTGACCAAGACAGGATTTTTTCTTACAACATGAATACACTGTCAAGCAGACAAGCAATGAGAATAAAGAAAAATATTTATTAGGGGATTAATATAACTTGATCCAATACCAAATTCTCCAAACTAACATAAAAAGATCTGTATGGCAGACAGTAAGGAGAATGGGTAAAATTCCGCTCTGTTTTCCCAAGGGCAATGTATTGTTTTTGTCGTTGTTTTCTCAATCCAAGAACTGAATGCATAATGTAGTATGGGGCTGTGCGGAAATTTTACCAGGAGAATTACGAATGAGATCTTAGGAGTTAGAGGTTTACATAATAATAAAAAAAAAACCGGCGAAAAAAAACTATCATGATACAGCTGGCGTTTAGAGCCGTCAGGTTTCGTTTTATAATAGTATTTGGTTGTAAGGAAATCTTTCCGCATCGAAACTTAGGCTGTTATTAATTTTACACTTCTACCTGGATATCTGCACCGTCTTCCCTTGTTTCAATTTCGTAAACTTGCATCTTCTGAATGCCGGCTTCCGATAAAGTTTGCTTTGCCATTATGCAAAAAGGACAAGTTGTCTTAGAGAATACTACTACGTTGTGGCTCTTGATTGCTTTTTCCACAAAACTAAGAGCTGCCCGTGCTGCTGCCATGATTCAAAAGCGATTTCACTCTTACTATGATCTTTTTCCGACAATCTTCGTTGTGCAACTTTTGTTAAGTTATGGCCTGTTCGTGGTCGCCATTTTGAAATTCTACCCAGCAAACGTAGCGAGAATTTGTGGTTACCAGGTTTTCTCGCCAGTCAACCAGTGCAGTCAAAGCAAACCCTAACAACCACTAGCACCCATTAGTGGGAATTGGTTCCGAATAATGAAACCAATACAGGTAATTGCCTCACCATGAGAAAAAAACGTTTATTTTTTTACTTTTTTTTTAATCATGAATAGAAGGAAATGCCCACCCCTAGAGTAACCGAAGATGTTGTCTAAGGTGACGTTGCTTCATGTAACCTTGCGATGGACTAGCACATCATCCAGGGGGGAGTAGTCATACTCCTGGTCGTTTCATGATAGGGAGACCGGGATGAGCTGTGGGCTGCGGCTGGATGGGTCACTAGACTCGAGTACAGACGCTTTTTTAAAACGGGTGAAGGGAAAAACTTTCCAAAGCCTATCAGCAATTGATATGTATATGGAAACACCCGTACCCACTCACTGAAGGACGAACATCATAGAATAAATCCGAGTCCTCACGATAACAGATAACCGTAATCCTTATCCGTTATAAAAAAGAAAGAAAAATGTTTTACTAATTGGGCTGAGTAAAACAAACCCGGGATCGTTCAAAGTCGGATGAATCTGTTTCCTTTCTTTTCAAAGATGTTGTTTACACTTTTGAATGCAAACGAGAATTTTATTCTGAAAAATATCTCGCAATTTCTTTTTGCAACTCTGTCATAAAAGAAGAATACAAAAAAACTAACTTTTCAGTGCGTTTTTAGATTCCAAAGGGAAGGACCCGAAAATTGTTTTTTAAAGCACCAATCTTGAACTTGGCTATGGAGGTCGCCATTTTGAAACCAACTTAGTAACCTGGCCATACAATTAAGGAGCGGTCCACAAACCTCAATGGCTCTGTTTTGCGTAAAACCCAGCAGTCTTTGAATCAAGAATGTCTCGCCATCATGCCCCTTATTCTTCTGCGAGACGTTGTTTTCGTGGGTAGAGGAGAACGGCATAATGTGCCAGACTTAACGCCCGAAAATTGTCATGCTACTCGGAAGTAGGTTAAACAACTGAAAAGCTATCAACTTAGATATAAAAAAATCTAGTAAACACATTTTTTTGAGAAAAGTTTTTCTCCGGTTCAGTCAGACTGGTTTTCTAGTTCTGTTTAAGATTTCTACAGAGAAAAACTCAATAATGATGCAATCCACTGGACTATGAAAAATTGAGAAATGGTTCAAAGCATGGGTGTCTGCTTCAAGGTCGTGTTCATGCTTCACGTTGTCGTTGTACTTAACTTGTTAGGCGTTCTTTATGTGCAGGATAATACTCTCTTGATAGCTTTGTAGTCTTAATAGGCCAGCTGTGATGTATTCCAGCTTCTATAGCTTGCTTCCGCCGGAAGTGGTCAGTTCGATGGCTGACATTCCTTTTACCCTCATAACCTCTGGGTTATTAATCATTACCAAGAGAGGTAAATTTGGAGGCACAGATCAAAAATAAAACCCTTGTTACAAAGAAGTCTTTAAACTCTTCCATGAAATTATATAACAGGTAAAATAGGAATGGTTTACCATCCAATGCGCCGAATTTTCAGATCAGAATCAATGCACTATCTCTTGTCTGTAAAAGCGTATCTGGGCATCTGGGAATCTTGGAACCTTGGAACTGGACTTAGAAACGGGAAACGAAATAGAGGGGAAAAAAATCAATAATTATTATTGAGAGTTTCCAAAATTTAACCGTATCGGGCCTGTCCGGGAGTCGAACCCGGGACCTCTCGCACCCTAAGCGAGAATCATGCCACTAGACCAACAGGCCTCAACTGAAAATGCTAGTCTTCAAATAAAATAAAATATAAATAGGCGGGTGGCTCAACACCTGTGATATCACCTGTTTTATTTTGCCCGGAGTAATAGTAAATGGAGTTGCTGGTATCAGTTGATCTTTATATAACGAGCTGAGTTAAACACGCATTTTGATGAAGTCTGGCTTATGATTTATTAGAAGACAAACGCATAGATAGCATCACCACCGACAGTTTTCGTACAAAACAAATAGATACCGTGTTGCTGTTGAAAAATGCGGTAAGAACATCAGTGACTTATTCGACTGCACCTCGTGTGCTACTTTTTCGTTCTTAACACATTTTGACGTTATTGCCATAATCATAGGAAATAGTATTAACCCATCAAGCCGAAAAAATTTGGACTTGAGACCGTATGACTGACCGTGTAAGGTGCTACTTTTAGCATGCGCGGCCAACTGCACTGCAGGCACTATCTTAGCCATTATGAAATGGAAGGGCGAGGGAGGAGGTAATGCGTAGGCGCTATTGCGTGCGTAACTTGGATACCCCATTAGTTTGCGCTAGGAGACGCCGGCAGATGTCAATTTGTTAAATGTAATCTAAACCTATTTTCGTTTTTCTCATCTCGTAATTTCTTAGGTGGGAGCAACTTTGAAGGTAGCTAGTGCACTCAAGGATTCATTTTCCTAACTTTATATACACCTAACTACAACACCGTTGACCTAAGAAAAGCAAAAAGCAAAAACAAAATAGAAAAAAGCATAATAGGAATTCATTAGCATATAAACCTACCCATCGACTATATAGGCAGTGCCCGGCAGCTGAACAATGATGTTGCTTAGATATTTCAAGCGATTCCAAAAATTTTAAAAATAAATCTAACTGCTTATGTCGTCTTCTTATGTTTATTTAGCTTTTCTCCTTTTTTCTGACGTTAGTCTGAATAAGGGGTATCTCCTGTGTGTTTGGAAATCTCTGATTTTTAACATTATGGAGAGGCGTTATTTGTTTTGTTTAGTTAAAGCATATTCAATTGAAAGAAAATTATAACACCAGCATTTTTTTCAACGTTATTGGCGTGAGTAGTAATCAACGCAGAGCTTTTCGAAGTTAATAAAAACTGTTAAGTGACATTAAAGGAGAGTTACTTGGTTCTGCGCATGAAAAAGGTTAAACATAAACCCATTTAGCTCCACTGACTTTGAAACAGTCTGAGACACGAAGGAGCAAATGTCACTGTTCAAAGCCTTTTGGGAATTCGTGATCAGTCGTTAAAACGTGGCTGTAAAATCCTGTTTATCGTTCGCATTTTAGTCTGTTTCAACTCTCAATTACAGGCAGATTCAAAGACTCTGTCATCAATTGCGTTTGAGAAACCACTGACTGCCATTTGTGGAATCAAGACTAAAGAAGCACTCTTTTATATTAAATTCTGTCATTTTGATGCCGGATGTCGGATGTCGGATGTCGGAATTATGTCTCAACCTCGTCTTTGTCGGCACCGGATGACTCTGCGCTGGGATGGCGACAGTCACGACATAACACACTCCTTCAAACTCGCATAGTAACCAGTGACCTTTAGCCATATTATTAGTGAGTAAAGTGACCATAGCTATCACAAATTTTACTAAAAAACAAATTGGTTTAAGGAGAAAGAGGAGGCCACTCTTAAGATCAACTCGAATGACAGTATGCATTCGAGACGTTGCTATCCAAATTGAACGTCACTACATCGTTTGTCAAACGATATTACCATCGCTCTGACGAAGGGCTAACGCTCGAAACGTCAGCTTTTTTACCCTTTACGGTGGCTAATTTACGTTTTCAACCCATTTGTTAACACTAAATTACCTGCTATACTCTCCCACCGACGCAGCACCACAGTTTCTTTAGAAACTTACCCCTTTATTACTTTGTTATTGTCGTGTTTCATTACAATGAATAACTTAACCGCATACATACATTATCATTACTAGGACATATTTTAAAATCGCACTAAAGACAAATGTGTTTGCCTTTTTTTAAAATTGACTCCAAACGGAATACTGACACGGGACCTTTCCAGACGTCGAGCGCCGGACGGATAGACGCGCTTGTAATAAGCGGTGACACTTATGGGACTTCATCTAACATCATTCTGAAACTCTAAAAAAGTTACTAAGTTAACAGAAATGCAGACTCGTTGTCCACACTTGTCTCCGTGGCGCAATCGGTCAGCGCGTTCGGCTGTTAACCGAAAGGTTGGTGGTTCAAGCCCACCCGGGGACGACCTTTTTAAAGAAAATAAATTTTTTCTTGCCTCGAATCCAATTGCAGCCCTGAATTTTGACAACAAGAAGACTTTTCGTGAGCGGAAGTATTATTTCAGTCAAGTATCAGGCCTTGAACCTTTGAAAATTAGAAGGTGACTAAATACAGTTTCGTATAAGGAAGTTGCTACAGTGGTTAGTATATTAGTTTCCGAGAAAAAATTGGGAAAGTCTACCTTTTTCATGATCCATTCTTAAATAAAGGTGGCCATTTAACAGTTTGTTTTCACATAATCGCATAATTGTGGGGTTGATCTTTAAGCGGCCAGTGATTTTAAGAAAACTGACTTACATTTAGACTACTGATTTAACGGCTTTCCTACTGTTTCGTAACAATCAAGATACTGCAGTGTGTGCCTGTTGCCAAGGAGAAACAAACATTTATTTGGACGTGGTATGTTTTATATAGCTTTTTAATTCACCTATGGCTGCAAAATTGGTGAGGCATTATGGTCGCACTGGAGAAGAGTGGAACCCAATTCTCTCTTGCGTCAGTGATAATCATTGCTGTGCTGCCAAACACTGATGACGCACTTCAAATATTCTATTTCAGTAATTGAAAGAGTCACTGTGTGAACCAACCCACTGTAGAACAAAGAAAAAATGGAAAATATTAACAAACTGGTGGCTTCAAACACTTTTAGAAATAAAAGTGAAATAGAAATAAAAAACATCCATCCAACAGGTACCATAGCACCAGAATTTTCCACTATTTAATCGAACCTGCATCATATGAGTGGCCTGTTGGTCTAGTGGCATGATTCTCGCTTTGGGTGCGAGAGGTCCCGGGTTCGACTCCCGGACAGGCCCTCCTGGCAGTAATTTTCAATACTGAATTTTTTTTTTTCAGAAATACTGAATTCTGAATATAATGCCTTCTGTGGTCTTCTTTCACAGCCTTATGAAG